GCTGGGGGCTGGGGCCTGGGGAGGGGGCGGCCTGCGGATGTCGGATTTAGGGCTTTGTACCTGTGGGGACGTGCAGGGGCACCTGCGGAACCGAGATCCGAAGCCACCTGTCTGCAAATCGCTTTCCCCCAGTGTCCTGCGTTATGCCCCGCGCCCCCAGACCTAGGCCTTTACCGGCCTCTGGCGATTAGAATTTATTTCGGAAACGTTAGATTTTTGTGTTCACGATCATTTTACTATTGTCGTGCAACAGTTGTGTAAATCTGGTCACATTACGCCGTCGTTATCACGTGCTCCTAAGGCCCTTTAAGGTTCCTAGCGTTTTCCGACGCGATGATTCTGGCAGCGCGTGGAAGAAATAGTGGCTCTCACGGAACTGAAATGTTTTTTACTCCCCCTCCCCTTTGAATTGTGTTTACTTTGTTTTGTTTGTTTACAGCGATTATATACTATCAGGAAAAAAAAACGCTGAAAAAGCTTATAGCAATCTCATCATCAAGAGATTTCACTGTTAAAAATGTGGGGCACATAAACATATATTCATGTTGCATAAATGAGGTGCTAATGTGATCTGCTTTTTGATAAATTTTTAGTACATTTTTCTGTATCAGTGCATGATCATTTTTCCACTGCCTTCTGAACTTGCACTGATTTGGACCCAAAGCCTGTAAGTCAAGAATTTTCTTTTCCTTGAACCTTAACCGGTGGCCAGCCTTAATAAAGACCACCTTAAAGATTCAATGAAATATCACTGCAGTGGCCAAGATATTGGATAGAAAAAAGCTGAATTCAGGATAACAATCATGTTGTGTAAAATATTGTTTGCTTAATAATTTGAAGCAATGTTTTTTAAAATTGCAGCTTTCCAACCATTAGTGAATTGTGAAATAAATTTAGTGGATCATAACTAGCACTAAAAAAAACCCAAAAAACGAAATAAGATAATAGAGAAAATGCCAGATCTCATTACATGTCCTGAGGGTATTCTGTGAAACTGTTTTAACTTTACTTGTGTGTGTGTGTGTGTGTGTGTGTCCACATATGCTGGGTCGTGATATAAAATGTATTGCTTCCCATGTGCCATGCTAATTAAGTTTGAAAGTCGCTAATTCAAGGTACTGTCAGTACTTCTTTCAGAATAAGAGCAATGATGCAATTAAGCTTAACATTAGTTTTACTCTTTTCTTTGGAATATGTGACAGTATTTATTGCAGTAAATTTGATTTCTAATTATTTGTTTTCACCAAATATTAAAACAATAATTAGCATTCCTGAAAATACAGAGTGGAAGCTATTTAAAGAAGTTCAGAGGTTAAGAGCATAAACTGCTCAGATTGACCTAGGGTCAAATCCCAGCTGCATTGGTTATTGGTGTGTGACCTAGCACAAGACAGTGCTTCTCTCTAAACCTCAGTTTCCTGATTTGTGAAGTGGAAGTTACTGGAACACCAACCTCATAAGGCTGTTTGATATTCAAATAAGATAATGCATGTGAAACTATTGATTTAGTGCCTGGCCCAGATTAAGCACTCACTAAAAGTTAGCTATTATTATTTTATTAAGACTGAATGGAGGCATTCAGGATAATTCTTGTCGCCAGAGGTAAACCTATATAAGGTGGATAATCAAAAAAAGTGGGAAATTGACAATTATGTAACAATGTTACAAGGAAAGGGACACTGAATAAAGATGGTCGTTTTATATCATTTGGCCATTGTTTTGTGTTGCTCCTCAATTGTTTTCCTATTGCTAGAAAAGTAATTTAGGTTGTCATATTCAGTAAGCCAAATGCCCTTCTGTTGTGTTTTTTATATATTATTGAGCTGATGTCTCTATTGTCAGGCAATTGAAAAATATTTCCTACAGAGATTCTGCGTTTTGTTAGCTCTTATTCAGTACCACAGTCAGCTTGAGAAACTTAAACACTACAACCCAGTGCATTTCAGCGATGTTTTTATTTATGTCTGCAGTAGGTACAGATCTCAAGTATGCAAGAAATAGTCCTCCCCCTCCAAAAAAGCACAACTTTATTTCTGTTTTGAGATAATTCTGGAGTTATCTCAGGCAGTTCAGAGATCTCTGTTAACTGCCCCTGACTGGTTTTTGCAGTTTTAAATGTTACATAAACCAATGAAAAAAAATATAAGCATTGCCATTTTTATAGCATTGTTATTTTTATGAAAAATAAATTGGATGATTTGGCCTCAAAAAAAAAGACTGTTGCAAAAGTACTTAATTGGGTATCACAACTAAGTAAAAGGTTGGGGGAAATCTTAAACATTAATCATAATACTACTCTCAGTTCTGAAAATGTCTTTAAGTTCTTATTCTGTTTTAGAGGGACCAAAATGGAAATGTTACCGAACCGAACTTGGGTCTGCTCGCCTGCTGCACGGCAAAGCCAATCTACTGACACCAGGTTGTGGTGAAGGAAAGTACAGCGTTTATTTGCAGGGCGCCAAGCCAGGAGAACAGGCAGCTCGTGTTCAAAAGACCCGTAACTCCCCGATGGCTTTCAGGGAAGGGCTTTTTAAGGGCAACAATTGGGGTGAGGGTTGCAGCTCAGTGGATTGTCTGCTGACTGGTTGGGGGTGAGGTAACAGGGTGAATGTTTTGGGAATCTTAATCATTAATCTTCTGGTTCCATCCAGTCTGGGGTCTACCTGCTTATGGTCAGCCTATAGTCATCATCCTCCACCTGGGTGGCGGTGTCTTAGTTTCTGCAGAACAACTCAAAGATATGCATCAGATTGTTGTATATATATCCCTTGAGGAGGAACTGGGACCTTTTTTTTTTTATCACTGAACTATTGTTTAAGTTATCACTGCTTTTATTGCTTAATTGCTTTTCCTTTGTTTCTGCATTCCCTCACTTTCCCTAAGTAGTAACTGTTTGAGTCTGCTTTTTTTGAACTCATGAAAGGTTTAAGGAGACTAAAGCCTTTTTCTACAAACAAGAAATGGGGGACACAGGGGCTTTTGTACCCACAAAGGCCCCACAGGGTCCTGGTCCGTCTCAGTTCCCCCTTTTCTTTGATACTCCTCAATCCCGAGGGAAATGGGGTGGAACAAGAAAGGGAATAAAGTTTTGGATACAGAGGTTAATTATAAACTCACTGAGGGGACTTGGTTTTAGAGGGGCTTGGTTTCAGAAACCCCTCGAGGGTAAATCATGATGTGGTTTATGAAAATATGATTTTAAAAAAAGACTTTGAACTCCAGCTGTCCACAAAAAGACGTCAATGAGACAAAAAAGCATATCTTGACTTTAAATCAAACATGTATTTATTTGTATGTTTTAAGGTAGATAAAATACTAAGTTTATGTGTGTATATATTTTTGAAATCATCTTATTGACTAATTTTTAAAAAGTTAACTCACCAACTACTGTGTCTCACATTGTCAGATAAGAGGGTTTTTATCTTACACTGATAAAATGAAATAGTATGCAATTAAATATTCTGTTTTGGAATTATATCTAATATGATACAGAGGTGATCATCATAAATGGTTAAGAGAGGAGGCTATAGACTATGTGTAGTACCATTCCATTTTTGTAAGAAACGTGTTTAGAACAAAGAAGAATATATGAAAAATGTTAATGGTGGGATTATAGCTGACCTTTATGCTCTTTATTTTTAATTTTTATAATTGTGCTACAGTTATGTTTTACTTTCATAATAAAATGAATAAAAGTTGTTTTTTAAAGAAAAAAAATTAATGTGTGCTTTCCTAATTTACCAGCATAAATGAGACTAAGTCTCTGCTCTAAGGGATTCTGACTCTTTAAAGTTGGATATTTTGGGTATAAACTAATTTTCCAGTATTCTAGAAAATAATGCTGAATAGTTTAGAAGTTATATTCCTTATCTTCTGAAAAGCATTTTTGAGTAAGAAAGAACATTGTTCCAGAATTTTATTAAAACACTCTTTGAGCATACTACTTTCCAAAAAATTTGCACACTGCCTAAATCTTTATTCTACTTTTAAATCCTGTCATGTCAGAACTCAGTCTACTTTTCCTGCTTTATTGCCCCTTAAATTCTTAAGTGAAACCATAGCTCTAGCTGAACCTGTCAGCTTACTATCTCCAAATGTACTTTGTGCTTTCTTGCTATTGTACTTTTGCTTCTTTGTTACTTGGGATATCTTCTTTTTTTGACAGTTGTATAAGCAAATTCTACCCATTTTCCAAATCCAGTTAAAAAACCATATCCACTGTGACATCCTTGGTCCCTCCAGCTAACACTGAATTTTGCAATTGAAGCCATTTGCACTTACTATTTGTGCTTAGGCATTTCTCAGATACCACCTGATATTTTTTAGTTTATTTGCCAATTCTATTTTAAACTTAATTAAGAGCAAGAAAGCTTGTTTTATATTTCTTTCTCCCCCTTGACTCTCCTAGCATGGAACCCTGCACAGGGTAGGTACTAAATATTTATTCCTTGATCACACAGTGGTGTCACTGGCTTTTTTGAGTCCAAGATTTGAAATTTTTTGTTAACCAGTGATCCTGTATAGAGGTCAGCATCTTGCCCACAATGGTGTGGAGGAAGAAAAAAATAATAATTTGGCTTGTCAATTGATGGATGATAAGGAATTGACAGTTTTTTAAAAATTAAAACTAACACAGTCGTCAAGAGTTGCATGGCTAGTTCAGGACTCAAACTTAATTTCATGTAAATACTTCTTGAAAAAGTTTCTCATGTAGCTCATTTTGGGTTTGATAGACTCTTTGTTCTTAACCCTACCAGAGGCACAGTTATGCCTTGTATTCTTACAGCTACTGTTCCTGGAACCCAGAGCTCTGAAGTATTTGATGGTGGGTTATATGGACCATCATAGTTACTCTGTTCCAGAGCATCTTAAGCAGTCATGTGGGATTCATTGAGTCATAGTATGTAAAGTGCTTTGTGTTCAAAGGTTAATATGTTTTCTCCTATTATTGGAAACATAATTGTGTCACTTTTCAAACTTAGATTGTGACTTGGTACTTATTTGGCTATGGGTAGACACTTAAAGGGCTTATCTTTTTTCTTTTAAATAGTTTTATTCTAATTTATAGATGTTTGCCAAGACTAAATATAGCTGATGAAATACCTGCCTTTTTCTGCTCAAGGTAAATGATTTGTTACTTTATAAAAATACCAGGTACTAATAAAATTCAGAGTTTGTATAAAAAGACCCATTTGGTCATGTAAACTAATACAATCCCAAGCCCCAAAGAAATGATCCCTTTAAGAATTTTATTAGTACATGAAAAATGATGACATATTATTGGTTCAACTCATATCAGAATCACCTCGGGACATTTTAAATATGTATAATATGCATGTGCCTGACTCCCCACCGGGGGACTTTTGATTCTGTAAGTTATTCAAGTGGGGTCCTAGCATGTGAATTTTCTAAAATGCCAACAGCTACTTTTGATTTATTGTAACTCGGTTTCATTGTGGCATGTGTATGACATTAGAATGATGAAAATGGCAGGTAATAATGCCATGGGAGTTAAAAGCCATAAGGGTTAAAGATCAAAAATACTTAAAAGTATTTAAATTTTGTGTGTGCGTGTGATGTTAGACTCATACTTTGATTTTGCCTTTTAATGAATGTCTTAATTATATTTTAAAGACAGCACTAAAAAGTTTGTTATTTTATGATTTTCAGAGTTTAGGTCTAAACTCTGGGGTTCTCTCAGCCTGATAATTGCCATATCTATGAATGCAACTTAAAATAAAACTTTCTTTCATTTTGTTGCTTCAGGTTAATAAGTGAAGTAAAGGGAAAAAAGACCAAATTTTAAGTAACTAATTTCTTATATATTCTTTATTTCAGAGGCTGATTTAATTGATTTATTTTCCCTATAAGTGTGAGAAGTCAGAAACTATCAAAATTTCTCATAATAAAAAGTAATAGGTAAGTGAATGTTATGATAGCATTTTGATTTAATGAAGCTTTTATATTATTGAGTGTAAGGCTATGATTTCATTTTTGAACATTGATTTTAATGAGTAAAGTTTTTCTTTGCTGGATAATCTTATCAGAAATACTCATAACAAGATTATTCTCTTTATGGTTTTCACCAGAATGTTTAAAATAATTAGTATTAAAAACTTGATGAAATTATTTCTTAAAATCCTATTTTCACTTCCACAAAACAGCAAAAACTGTATTGCGTTGAATTTATTTAAAATAATCATAAACTATATACATTTTGTGTCAGTGAATAAATTGGCTGTGTATCAGAGTTATCTGGGGAATTAAAAAGTTTCTGAATTCTAGGCTCTGTTCTCAGATGTACTAAGTCAGAATTTGGGGGGGTGATTTTTATATTCATCCTGGTTTGGAAACCACTGCAGTATGTAATGTGGGAGAATTATACTTTGGGGGAGGAGGGTAGAAACTTGGAAACTATTTTTTATTTGTGGAGAAATCTTATTGCACCAGTTGGAAAAAATACCTCTTACTTGTTTGGCTTATATAATTGTCAGAAGAAAAATGTTTTTTATTTCAGAGGCTATATTAGTTGTTATTTTGCTTTTTAGCAACTTTATTGGATAAATTACTTTAAAATCTGGCTCTTTGTGGATTAAGCAGAAAATAAATGTGGTATCTTTACTCTCATGACAAAGAAAAAGATGTTAATATGACAGAGTTCACGTAATCTGGGATTTTGTGTAGAAGCATAATGTGAAAATTAGTGAGCTTCTTTAGTGTATAGTAAACATACTATAGTAACGACTTAGAAATATAATATATCTTTACAAATTGAATAGTGTATGCAGTACTGAATCAATTCCTGATAACTAACAACTTTTCAGAAAATTAATAAAAAATGTAGTCATCTAGGCTTCAAAGATTGGCAACAAACTACTCTTTTAGAAGATGCATAAATCTCAGAGGAAGACAAATACTGTATTATATCACTTATATGTGAAATCTAAAAAATAAACTAGTATATGTAGCATAAAAGAGGCAGACTTAGATATAGAGAACAAACTAGAACTGGTTGTGGGAGTGAAGGGAAGAGGGGCAAAATACGGGACGGGGATTGAGAGGCGCAAACTACTATGTATAAAATAGACAAGCTATACAGATACACAGTGCAACACGCATATAGTCAATATTTGTGTAGTAACTGTAAATGGACTATAACCTTTAAAAGTTGTGAATTGTGCTGTGTTGTACATCTGAAACTTATATTGTGCATCACCTACACGTCAATGAAAAAAAAGATACAGAGGTCTCATCTCTACTGTAGGCTCACTGAGTGATTTAGGAGCTTATGGTAGGCTTGTCTGTTTTCATAATTAATAGAAATATGAGTAAGCAGGACTGACGAATAAATTTCTGCTCTCTAATATTTTCATAGCCAGTTTCCTTGTGGTAGTAAGGAATTAATGTGATTTTGCCATTTTTCTCTTTTTCAGTTTGAGTGTTCAAGGACAACAGCCATCTATCTGACTTTGGTTATTCAATATGCAGAACAGACAAGGATATTGCAGCTATTGCCGTGTGTGCTATAGTAACCTGGAACAGGTGAGAGGATCCTGTCAATATGGTTACACCTCAAAGGACCTAGTAGTAACTTTCTCTTCTTTTACATTTTATTAAATTCCTTTATTCGTTCATGGAACAGACCATATTGAGAGTCTACTAGTGAGCAGATACTCTTTTAAGGTTCCAGGGATTTGGCCATGAACAAAATCAGTTTTCTTTATTAATGAATCTTACATTATAGTGCAGTAAGGCAGATTATAAATAGTCATGTAAATTTAGTACATAATAGATCAAATTGTGATAAATGTTCTGAGGAAATAGAGAAGAGTGTGCAATTCTAGGTAGGATGGCCAGATGATGTTAAGAAAGTGACATTTAAGTTGAGGTATGAATGAAGTATGGGGGCCAGGCGTGCTTGTATCTAGGGGAAGAATTTCCAGGTAGACAAGAGAGAGCAAGGACAGAGACCCTGAGGCGGAGGGGTGGTTGACATGCTGACCAAAAGCCAGGAGGCCAAAGTGGCTGCCATGGAGGGTGGGTGGGGAGTGGATGCTAAGTGACAGGTGTAAAACTGAGAGCATTGGATTTCGTAAGACATTGTAAGGTAAGATAAGGACTTTGAATTTTACACATCGATGCACAGAAGTTACAGATTTTACTGTAGTTGAGTTTATCTTGTCTTTTTTCTTTTGTTGCTTGTGGTTTTGGTGTCATAAAGGTTGCCTAATTCAAGGTCATGAAGATTTATGCCTGTGTTTTCCTCTAAGAGTTTTATAGTTTTAGCTTTTACATATAGGTCTTTGATTCACCTTGAATTAATTTTTATATATGGTATTGGTTTATTTACCTCCCCAAAGCTCTGTTTTAAAAAAATACAACCATATGAGGGGTTATTAGAACTTCACCATAAGAATTTTGTGGGTGGGAACACAGTTCACTCTATAGCAATTACATGGATTGAGTTTTGGATGTTAAACCAATTTTAAGGTGTGAGGTGGTATCTCATTGTGATTCTGATTTGCATTTCTCTGATACTGGTGATGCTGAGCAGCTTTTCATGGTCCTGTTGGCCATCTGCATTTCCTCTTTTGGAAAAATGTCTGTTCAGTTCTGCCTATATTCAAAATGGGTTGGTTGGTTGGTTGGTTGCTTTTTAATTGAAATACAGTTGATTTAAAATGTTGTATTAGTTTCTGGTGTATAGCATGGATGGACTTGGAGAACATTATGCTAAGTGAAATAAGTCAGACAGAGAAAGAGAAATACTGTAAGATAGCCCTGACACGTGGAATCTAAAAAAGATACAACAAACTAGTGAATATAACAGAAAAGAAACAGACTCACAGATGTAGAGAAGGAACTAGTGGTTACCAGTGGGGAGACGGAAGGGGGAGGGGCAAAATGAAGGTAGAAGAGTAAGAGGTACAAACCATCAGATGTAAAACAAGCTACAAGGATGTATTGTACAGCATGGGGAATATAGCCAATATTTTATAATAACTATAAATGGAGTATAACCTATAAGAACTGTGAATCATTATGTTGTATACCTATAACATGTAATACTGCACATCAACTATACTTCAATTAAAAATGTGATACTGTAAAATAAATATGTAAATAAATAAATTTAAAAAATTTTGATGGTGGGGATACATTCAGTCTATAGCAATTACATTGATTGAGTTTTGAAATGTTAAACCAATTTTTTGTTCCTGGACCAAATTCCACTTGGTCATAATGTATGATCCTTTTTATGTGTTGCTGGATTTGGTTTGCTCATATTTTGTTGAGGCTTTTTGCATCTGTATTCATAAGGGATATTGTCTGTAGCTTTTTTCCCTTGTGATGTCTTTGGTTTTGGTATTAGGGTAATACTGGCTTCATAGAGTGAGTTGAGTAGCGTTCATTTCTCTTCTTTTTGTTGGAAGAGTTTGTGAAGCATCATCTGTGGAGATTTGAAGTAAGTATTTATGGTAATAATGGATGCAGTTTTCTGACCAGGGTTGGTTACTTAGAAGAGTCTCACGTTTTTCTCCAGGATATAAGCTGTGGAATTGTGTCATAGGTGAAGTAGTGATATAATGAAGCTCTGGGTCTGCTAGTGCTAAACTGTTTCATCTTATATAATATCTAAGACAAGTTTATAATACGTAAAAATTCTGCTGTTTAGTGGCTTTTTGCTAACTCATCCTGGATACAAAGATCAATTCCAAGTGGATTGTAGATATAAGTATTGTAGGTGAGACAATAAAGCTTCTAGAAACAAATAGGAGAAAAATCTTTATGACTTTGAAGTGGGAAGAGATTTCTTAAACCGATCACAAAAAGCAATGACAAAGAAAAAAATTGGTAAATTGAACTGCAGTGAATTTACGAAACAGTGGAAGATGACTAAGAAAGCATAAAATTATCCTGTAACTATTCTTGGGAAGGATGTTGGATTTACTTGGGGGTGGTGTGTGTGTGTGCACGCATGCAACAAATAACTATTTATGAACGCACATACACACGTACACAAGAAAGTGAAAAGATAAGCCACAAAGAAGATGACACAGATCTTCCTCAATTTGCGATGAGATTACATCCTGATTGTAATTTGAAAAATCTTAAATTGAGAATGCATTTAATACAGCTAACCTACTGAACATCATAGCTTAACCTAGCCTACACTAAAAGCGCTGAGAACACTTACATTAGCCTACAATTGGGCAAAATCATTTAATCCAAAGCCTGTTTTTAATAATTGAATAGCTCATGTAATTTACTGAATACTGTGCTGAAAGTGAAAAACAGATGGTTGTCTGGGTACAGAATGGTTGTAAGTCTATGGGTTGTTTACCCTCGTAATAGGATGACTGATCTTTTTCCTCTACATCCCCTCCCACGGACTTTAGGTTCCAACTGGATTGCTTTTCATCCCTTCCTACCCATCCTACATGTGTATCTTTCTTACAGGCTTGGTTGTATAGGAGTCTTGCTAGTTTCCTGTTTTCAGTGAGAATTGTTCTACTTGTAGATGTATTTTTGATGTGTCCATGGTGGGGGAATTAAGCTCCACATCCTTTAATACTCTGCATTGATTCGAGCTCCCCATTTGGGTTTTAGATTGTATTTTAGAATTGCTTTATAGAAAGGATGTATCAATTTATACATCTACCAGGAGTATAATGAACCTATATTCTGACACTCTCACTACTTGTGAGTATTACCCATTTAAAAATACTCATTTTTTTCTTTATAGCATATGTCCAGTGATCGGCACAGATTCTTGACCATACAGAGTAGACAGTGGAAGGGTTCCCGTACTTTGATGGAACGTTTCTTGCAGGATGTACTGCGACACCACCCATATCGTTATCAAAAAAGCAGGTAAAGTAACTGAATGGAATAATATTAGTACATAGTTATATGTTACAGCATACATATAAGTTACAGTTTGTGTTAATGCTCCAGTACTTCCTAAAGTGAATCTTTTGAGTCAAGCAATATAAAGTGAAATTTTGTCTAGTGACGTACCTTTGCAATCATTTTTTAATTTTTCCCAGCCTAAGTAAGAAATTTCACTATACAAGATATGTACTACACTATGCTTTTACTAAAGAAAAGTCTTAGGTCAGTAAATAATTATTTATCATTAATGTGTTTTGTAAGGATGTCATAGGACTAAGCACAGGAAAAAGGTGGGAGTAAACATAGCTTTTACAAGATTCGTAACCAAAAAGCTGGGGACAGTAGCCAAGTAAGGGTGGTCAAAGTAAAAACTAAGTCAATTACACATTAATGGAACTATTTGCTAGCTATTTGCTAGTCTATCAGATAGAACTGGCTCTTTTTATTATTTGTCAGTATCTTGATAGCTTACTCATATCAGTTTATTTTGGTTGTTTTAATAAAAATAAATATTTTGATACCATTTAAAGGTTAATATCCTATGTTAAAGGAAAACTTTGGTAGAAAATCAGATTATGTACTGTGGTGACTTTGCAGCTACAACTATACGAGACAAGGCAAAACAGATCATCCGCACATCTGTGAAGATTTGTTTGAGTTCAGCACCAGCAGTAGAAAAAGAGGATGCACTTCTTGAAGGCTTTGCAAGTCATCAACCTAGAATTTGCAAATGGCGAAAATGTTTTATGGGGAAAAGTTAGGATAAAAATATGTGGTTTCTTAGCTGGTGGAAAGATGGAATTAGCCTATCTTGGGGTCAGCATAAATTTCCAGTTTTTAGTGTATATAAACAGTGCTACAACAAACATATTTGTACGTGTAACTCTGTAGAGTAGATTCCTAGAATTTGAACTTTTGAGCTAAAATTTATGGACATTAAAGGTTTTTATTTCTTAAATTTTCATTTTGAAATGATTTCAAGCTTACAAAAATTTAGTTACAAAACCAGTACAAGTCTTGTGTAACTTTACCTAGCTTCCCCAAATATTAAATCTAAAATAACCACAGTACAGTGATCAAATCCATGAAATTACATGATGCCACATTATTTATAGACCTGAGTCAGATTTTTTCAGTTGTCTTACTGATGTCCTCTTTCTGGACCAAGATTCAATCCAGGACTGCACATGGCATTGAGCTGTCACATCTTACTCTCCCTTGATCACTGGTAGTTCCTCAATCTATCTTTGTTTTCAAGGCCTTGACACTTTTTAAAGATTACTGGCCAGTTTTTTGGGGTAGGGTATCCCTAAATTTGGGTATGCCTGATGTTTCCTCCTAATTAAACTTAGGTAATGTATTTTGGATAAGAATAAATTATAATTGATGGTTGTACCCTTCTCTGTATCAGATGAGACCCATGATATTGAGTCTCATTGCTGGTGATGTGGACTTGGATTACTTGATTAAGGTGGCTTCTACACCGTAAAGCTACTAAAATTTTTCCTATTGTAATTAATAAGATACTTGTGGGGAAGTACTTTGAGACTATATAAATATACTGTTTCTCATCTTACTTTCACCCACTGATTTTATTCAATCATTCATTAATGATTCTTCCCTGAAACAGTAGTTACATGTATTAATCAGAGTTCTACCATAAAGAAGATCTTTCTTATTCCCTCACTTAATTATTCAGTCATCTATTTCCATCATTTTTAACTCAAGAATGTCTTTTATTCTGTGGGTTTTAATCCATTGCTATTATTTCTTTCATTGCTCAAATTGTATATGGAAATGTTTAATTCTTTTAAAAATGAAACAAAATTTATTTTATTTCATTTTTAATTGAAGTATAGTTGCTTCACAATATTATATAAGTTACACATGTACAATATAGTTATTTACAATTTTAAAGGTTATACTCCATTTATAGTTATTATAAAGTATTGGTTATATTCCCCATGTTGTAAGTATATCCTTGTAGCTTATTTTATACCTATTAGTTTGTACTTCTTACTCCTTTACCCCTATATTTCCCCTCCCCCCCCAGTAATCACTAGTTTGTTCTTTTTTTTTTTTTTGACATCTCAGGGAACTACTGATTCTTTCCAGCTTCTTTATTTTTTATTGTATTTTTTATTTTTTATTTTTTATTTTTTTTAACATTTTTTATTGATTTATAATCATTTTACAATGTTGTGTCAAATTCCAGTGTTCATAGTTTGTTCTTTATATTTGCAGGTCGGCTTCTTTTTTGTTACAGTCACTAGTTTGTGGTATTTCTTTAGATTCCACATATAAGTGATGTCATACAGCATTTGTCTTTCTCTGTCTGACTTATTTCATTTAGTATAATGCCCTCCAAATCTATTCATGTTGCCACAAATGGCAACATTTCTTTTTAATTGCTGAGTAATATTCCATTGTGTATGTATATATATATATATATCTCATTTTCTTTATCCATTCATCTGTTGATGGACACTTAAGTTGCTCCGTATCTTGGCAATTGTAAATAGTACTGCTGTGAACATTGATGTGCATATATCTTTTCAAATTAGTATTTTGGGTTTTTTTGGATATATACTTAGGAATGGAATTGCTGGGTAATATGATAATTCTGTTTTTAGTTTTTTGAGAAACCTCTTACCATTTTCCACAGTGGTTGCCCCAACTTACATTCCCATCAACAGTGTACGAGGGTTCCCTTTTCTCAAAATCCTCACTGACATTTTTTTTTTTTGATGATAACCATCTGACAGGTGTGAGGTGATATCTCATTGTGGTTTTGATTTGCATTTCCCCTATGATTAGCAGTGTTGAGCATTCATGTACCTGTTGGTCATCTGTGTTTCCTCTTTGGAAAAACGTCTGTTCAGTTTTTCTGCCCATTTTTAAATCGGGTTGTTTTTTGGATGCTGAATTGTATGAGCTGTTTATATATGTTGGATATTAATCCCTTATTGGTCATATCATTTGCAAATATTATCTTCCTTTCAGTAGGTTGTCTTTTGATTTTGTGAGTGATTTGTTTTGCTCTGAAAAAGCTTTTAAGTTTAATTAGGTCCCATTTGCTTATTTTTGCTTTTGTTTTCTTTGCTCTAGGAGATGAATCCAAAAAAGTATTGCTCTGATTTATGTCAAAGAGTGTTCTGCCTATGTTTTCCTCTAGCAGTTTTAAAGTATCCAGTCTCACATTTAGGTCTTGGGGGAAGGTATAGCTCAAGTGGTAGAAAGCATGCTTTGCATGCATGAGGTCCTGGGTTCAATCCTCAGTACCTCCTCTAAAAATAAAGAAAGAAAGAAACCTAATTAATCTCCCCTCTGCCCCCACCCCCAAACCAAATAAACACTTAGGTCTTTAAACCATTTTAAGTTTATTTTTGTTTATGGTTAGAGAAGGTTCTAATTTCATTCTTTTACATGTAGCTGTCCAATTTTCCCAGCACCACTTACTGAAGAGACTGTCTTTTCTGTATTGTGTATTCTTGACTCTTTTGTCATAGAGTGATTGGCCATAAGTGTGTGAGTTTATTTTTTGGCTCTCTATCCTGGTCCATTGATCTGTGTCTCTTTTTGTTCCAGTACATACTGTTTTAATGACTGTAGCTTTGTAGTATAGTCTGAAGCCAGGGATTATGATTCCTTCAGTTCTATTCTTTCTCAAGATTATGTTGGCTACTCTTGGTCTTTTGTGTTTCCATACAAATTTTAAAAGTATTTGTTCTAGTTCTGTGGAAAATGCCATTGGTATTTAGATAAGAATTGCACTGAATTTGTAGATTGCCTTGGGTAGTATGGTCCTTTTAACAATATTGATTCTTCCAATCCAAGAACACAGTATATCTTTTCATCTGTTTCATCTTCAGTTTCTTTCATCAGTGTCATAGTTTTCCAAGTACAGGTCTTTTGCCTCATAAGTAGTTATATTTCTAGGTATTTTATTCTTTTTTGATATAGTGATAACTTGATTGTTTCCTTAATTTCTCTTTCTAATACTTCATTGCTAGTGTATAGAACTGCAACAGATTCCTGTATATTAATCTTGTATCCAGCAACTTTGCAAAATTCATTGATGAGCTTTAGTAGTTTTCTGGTGCATCTTTAGGACTTTCTATGTATAGTATCATGTCATCTGCAAAAGTGACAGTTTTATTTCTTTCTTTCCATTTTGAATTCCTTTTATTTCTTTTTCTTCTCTGATTGCTGTGGCTAAGACTTCCAAAAATATGCTGAATAAAAGTGGTGAGAGTGGGCATCCTTATTTTATTCCTGATCTTAGAGGAAATGCTTTCAGCTTTTCATTGTTGCGAATGATGTTAGCTGTGGGTTTGTCATATATGGCCTTTATTATGTTGAGGTATGTTTCCTGTACATCCACATTGTAGAGAGTTTTTTTTAATCACAAATTGATGTTAAATTTTTTCAAAAGCTTTCCTGCATTTATCATATGGTTTTTATTCTTCAATTTGTTAATTTGGTATATCACACTGATTGATTTGCAGATATTGAAAAATCCTTCTATCCCTGGGATAAATCCCACTCGATCTTGGTATATAATTCTTTTAATGAATTGTTGGATTTGGCTTGCTAGTATTTTGTTGAGAATTTTTTGCATGCATGTTCGTCAGTGATATGGCCTGTAATTTCCCTTTCTTATAATATCTTTGTTTGGGTTTGGTATTAGGATGTGCTGGCTTCATAGAATAAGTTCAGAAGTTTCTAACCTTACACCTGAAGTTACTAGAAAAAGAAGAACAAACAGAATCTAACCCAAAGTTAGTAGAAGGAAAATAATCAAAAAGATCAGAGCAGAAATAAATGAAATAGAGACTGAAAAAAATTAGAAAAGATAAATGAAGCTAAAAGCTTGTTCTTTGAAAAGATAAACAAAACTGATAAACCTTTAGCCAGATTCATCAAGAAGAAAAGGGAAAGGGCCTAAATCAATAAAATCAGAAATGAAAAAGAAGTTACAAGTGATTTCACAGAAATACCAAGGATCATCAGAGACTACTATAAACAACTATATGTCAATAAAATGGGCAACCTAGGAGAAATGGACAAATTCTAGAAAGGTACAATCTCCCAAGATTGAACCAGGAAGAAATAGAAAATATGAGCAGACCAATTACTAGTAATCAAACTGAATCAGTAATTTAAAAAATCCCAATGAACAAAAGTCCAGGACCAGGTGGCTTCATAGGTGAATTCTACCAAATATTTATATAGGAAATTTTTAATTCTCGATAGACATTCCCTAGAATGCTATACCAGTTTATACACAATTTATGCAGTTGGTCATACATTTTTACATTTGTCTTTCTCTGTCTGGCTTAGTGTGATAATCTCTAGGTTCAAGAAGAGTGGTTTTTAACCTTTAGTAGTTATGATTTTAGAGGGCTTTTTTGGGTCATTGTTGTAAAATTAGTTTAAAATGCATAGAAGTATGAATTGTGATTTGGTTGTTAATTTTATTTATTTATTTATTTATTTATTTATTTATTTATTTATTTATTTAGGTTGTTGCATAGTTGTTAATTTTAAATTCACACAAATACAGATGAAAATCTTTTGGGATTTCCAACATGTTTGATTTTATAGTTCTGCCTTCCTTTCTTTTCTTAGCCAAATGTTATAAACTTAATTTTATTTTGAGAATAATTGTGATAGTCTTTAAGACAAATGGAGATTATCTTTTAGGGTTCTGAAAAACTAGGATAAAGTGATTATTGTGCTGTACTTTTATTGATTAGCATTCAGAAGTATGAAAAATTATAGATTTTTTGCCTCATCATGATATTATTTTGATACCACAGTTAATTTTTTATTTTACAAATGCCAAAAAATGTTATCTTAATGCTAATTATAATAATATATTTTCAGGGAAAAGTAATAGTAATATTTAGGACATGTTAAAAAAATTTCTTATGGTCAACACATGTATGCATGTCCTTTTAGACAACTTTATCATCTCTCAAACTGAAAAATATTTGATAAAGCTGTATTTTAGTATTAATCTATTTTAAATTATTTATTTATTATTTTTAATGGACTATTTTTAGGGCAGTTATAGATTTATAGAAAAATTGAGAAGATGGTACAGAGAGTTCCTATATATATCTCCTCATCCAGTTTGCCTATTACTAACACCTTACATTAATAGGTTACATTTGTTACAATCAATGAACTAATACCGTAACTAAATTCTGTAGTTTATTCAGATTTTCTTATTACTTGTCAGCCTTTTGGCTAAAGTCAAGTGTAGATTTTCTTAGTTTTCACCTAATGTCTTTTTCTGTTTTGGGATCCCATCCAGTATAAGCACATTACATTAACTTGTCATGTCTCCCTAGACTTCTTTTGGCATTTTGAATTTTAATAGACATTGCCAAATTGTTCTTCGCAGAGATTAAACTAATCTAAACTCCTACCAAAAATGTACTAAAGTGCCTGTGTCATTACACTCTTGCCAAAATAATGTATTAATAATAGCTAACATTTGTGAATGATTACTATTTTCCTGGCTTTTTGCAAAAATGCTTTTTACATTCAGTATCTAATTTACTCCTCAAAACAATCTTATGAAGGAAAATAATACTAGTTTCCCTTTTTTGGAGGAGGAAACTAAAGTCTAGATGGTTAAGTAACTTGTGTTAAACTTTTTGCTATTTACCATTCTGATAACTGAAAAGTGATATACAGGTTTATTTACATTTTTTCATGTTTAGGAGCCATTAGTGTTTATTAAGTAGCACTTTGTGGAGTTCCCTCCATCTTCTGCACTGATTACCTTCCTGAAATACATGTAATGTATAGCCTGGTGTGATTGCCTTGACTCTGTCTGCTAGGAATCTGGCCCAGGATAGAAAGAAAATAATTTTTAGTATGTCTTTAAAAAAAAAGCATTTTAAACAGATATTAGTATATTTTTATGGCTGTTTTCCCTTGCTTTTTAGATCAATGCAAAAGAAGAGCCTTCCTATGAATACTGCAGCACCTTCTGAAGTGGTTCCTAATAATGATTTTAATCCTGAAGAAATGGCAGTAGATGCTGATGGAGTCAGAGGAGAGATGCCCGCCAAGGATTCTAAACCTGTTGAAGACATGTATTCTAGATCTAGTAAATCTCAAGAGTATATACAGGGGGTTTCAGTTCGACCATCAGTTATTCAGAAAGTGGAGAAAGGACAGCAGCAGTCCTTGGAGTTCATTCAGAAAATTGGGAACAACATGAAAGAATTTAATTCAGTTGATATTGGTCACTCTACAAATAATAGACAAAGTGTAATATGTTTTTCAGTTATTTCTAATGCTCCTGTTAGTTGTTTACCTGAAAGTTCTCATGAAAGACCAGTTACAACTAATACTACTACTTTGTTACCACTAGGAGCCCATTTTGATTCAGTTGGTGAATGTGACCCAAACAAAGTTGACAAATACCTTAAACAGCTGGATGGGGACTCTGGAAATCTTACGCTGTCATGTTATCCAGAAACTTCTTCAGGTTCATGTCAGAAACCTAAAGAATCAAATAGGGAGTCTTTATGTATAAATTCAGATAAATTGGTTATACAGGAAGATGTAAAATCTCAGGGTAAAACTTTGTCAACTGGCTTTGAAGCACATGAATTTGTGGGTACCGAAGGCTCCTTAAAATTGGAATCTCTTTCCAAATTAGCAGTAAACCCAGCAATCAACATGAATAAAACTGACATACCTGTTGATAAAGGAATCTTTGAAGATGGCATTCCAAAGCATCATGAGGAATTCTTTCCTAATATGGATTGTACCCAAGAAGGAAAGCATTTGGCCTTTTTGGAACAGAAGACCTCAGTGAGTTCTGAAATGAAGTTGGCTGGTGGCTCTCTTCAGTCAGTGTCTGATCACCCTGAAGAGGATGTGCCAGACCTTTGGAAGGAGGAGCAAATTGACCAAGAAGATAAGAACTATGAATTAAGAAGTTCTGAAATGAGTTTTGATGGCAGTTCTTCTTTTTATTCACTTACTGACCAATCGGAAGAGACTGCTAATGGAATAAACCTTTCAGAGGAAGTACATGCTGATTTGCAGTATAAGAATAACGAATCTTCTGTTTCTGAAATAAGTTCTGATTGTGATGGCTCTCTTCACTTGATTACCAACCAAACTCAAGTAATTGTTAAAGATATAAGTGCTCAGAAGGCAGTGCATATTAGGCTGGTTGATGAAAGCTATGAATCTAGTGATTCTGAGATGACTTTTGATAGCGATGCCTCACTTCAGTCAAGTGATGACTACCCGCAACAGCCTGATAAAGAAGCAAACCTTCTGAAAAGGGCACACACTGGCTTGGTTGATATGAACTATGGATCCAGTAGCTCTGAAATAAGTACTGATTCTGTTTTCTCACTTGAGTCAGTGGTTGACCAACTCCCAGTGGCTGTCACAGAGAGAAAACTTCAGAAGGTTCACAGTGGCTTGGTTGATATGAACTATGGATCCAGTAGCTCTGAAATAAGTACTAATTCTGTTTTCTCACTTGAGTCAGTGGTTGACCAACTCCCAGTGGCTGTCACAGAGAG